GGGTTTGCGGGCTCAAAAGAAAAGTTTCTTCTGTTCCAAAACCGATTCTGTTCTGACTTTAGTGACTTGGAATCGGCTGTGTAGGGCTGGATTTCAGGGGGTGGTGAGAATGTGGGGTCAGCACGCAACTTCGTAGACTGCAGTACAATGGAATATACATCCTGGCACAGGCCAGGCATGACGTTTCAACTTTTCAAGAGTTTCAGCCGATGGTGTGCAAGGCCAGAGGGCGGTAGGTCGGTTAGGTTGGCGGGGCATACAGCACGTATCTTGTTGGGGTCCCTGAGGGCTAGGTTTAACAGTCACTTGAACTCATCAATAGCCTACTTCAAGCTCCGTGGGCAATAAAGCACAGGTCGCATCAGCAAACCTGCCCACCATCAGGCCATTCCGGTCTCTGATGCAAACGGAACCCGGCATGGGAACGAATTCTGATGTTGCTTCACACTCGGCGGAAACCGACAAACGAAGCCGCCACAATCGGCGCTCCCGTGGCGGTGCAGCATGCAATGATTGCAGTCATAGCCACAACCAGCAGCATCATCGTCATCGTCACCACCACCACCATCATCAGATTCACAGCCCTTGACATCACCATCAGGGACCAATGACAGGATTGTAAGTATGGGAGAACCGCTCAGGGTCTCGCTCGAGCCGCCTTGCTCAGAAGCCGAGGTTTGCAGAAACAGCTTATTTACACGGAGGGCGCCCCATCAATGCGAGCTATCTGTGAGAAAAGTTCGGCTCTTCTGGTTAGTTCTGGTTCCGTGCCAAAACCGAGCGGTTGAAGGCAGTAGACTCATCGTCTTGACTTCATGCTGCCCAAAAGCAGACAAGATGACCTTTGGTCTCCCACCTCGAAGCTCCACCTGCCTGTACGAAAGATTTTGCAGTGCGGAAAGCACACCATGGCAGCAATGTTATATCTTGTGGTTGCCCTATGTTGCCCTGTAGTAGTGAAGGTGAAGCTTTTTGAAAGATGTGAGGGAAGGCGTAGGATTTTGGCAGTGATGAGTCTTCTGCATTGGGGTGCAAGCCCCTCGATCTTAAGCCAGCTTAAACGCAACGCGATGATAGCCAAGGCTGCTGGCGTGCGTTTGCGTGGTTCTGCATCTCTGCTGCATAGCCAGATTTCTCGGACGTCCACGCACTTGAGCAGGCAAAGTTCCGCAAGCTCTCAAGTCCTGAGCCCTAACCAAGCCCCAGGGTAGGGTGAATAGGGTTGAAGAGCAGATTAGATGTGGCAGCCGCCTGCATCGCTGAGTCGTCACAAGTTCAGCTTATCCAAGATCCAAGCGTACACCCAATGAACTCTGAACTTGAGATTCTCGTGATGCAGTTTTGACATCCAACCGCGTTACGGAAGATAGGTTTGACCACCTGAATCTGCGGGGTTTTGCCCAGAAAGGTGGGCATAAGGTGCTGTCTAGTATTCTGCTGTGTGTGGAAGACTCACGAACTCCTTCGGCCGGCGGAGGCAAGGTTGCTTGGCATCATAGGTATGGTTAGATGTTGGGGCAGCTTGGAATGAGGGCATCATAGGGCATGCAGATCGGGAGGTCGCGCAGAAAGTCTGAGGTTCGGCCTTTTGACCGGGAAGCTAGCAGCCAACGCGGTAGGCGCCAGCAGCCTGTCAAGCAAAAAAATGCCACAGTGCCACAGCCACTCCAAATCAGCGATTCCGTCGGAGTTCCGTAGGCTTACAGAGAGGGACTATGGGGATCTGTAGGTTTTAGGGTATCCTTGTACATAGGCTCACAGTGATTGGCAGCAAGGCTTCCTCAACCTAGGTTTTCGGTTTTGCTGACATCCCAAGCAGCAGCTCAAAGTTATGCTGCTGATAGAACTCATGGCTTGCAAGCATGAAAGGCAACTAGAGGGCTTGCATCAGTTCCAATCAAAATGGGGCTGAGTCTGACTGCAGGCATACTTAAAGTTCGGGGAGCCCAATGATCAACAAGTCGCATTTGTGAGCATCCCAGGGCTGCTTACTAAAATATTACTAGTACCGAGCCTGAAAATTTCTGGGGCTACACCTAGTTTGAGAACCAGCCCAACCTGCACAATGGCTGAGTCAGGGCAATGCGGAGGAATTTGTCGGACTCTAACCATAAGCCGACATGTCTCGCCTGCGTTACGCTGCCTGCCTTGACCAATGCTTTGGAGTTAAGACTGTTGCCCGAGCACCTGCACAAAACCTCAGGTTGTTGCTGGGAAGGCAAGGAAGTCCAAGAAGAGCCCAGGAAGGTCAAATTGCAGTTTATGGAGTCTCCTTAACTTCTTCCTGAGAATGCACTGCATCTCAGATGATCGAGCGCCAACCTCTCCAACAGACCAAGCGTGTGATAGGTCAGAATAAAGCTGCGACCTCATGGGCGATACAACTTCATTCATGAGATCCTAATACTGACGAGAACCGATTTTACTGACTTGGTTTCAGGGCCCTTGTGCCCTGGCAGTGTTATGTGATAGAGAGGAGTTGTAGAAGCAAGAAGTGAGGTGACTACACTGGCCTAATGATGACCGCGGTGGCCTTTCCCAACTCGTTTTCTGTGAAGCTGCCATGGCTTTGCGCAAAAGCTACAATTGAGACTTTCTTGCTCGATTTGTATGACCTTGTGTCTTATGAAGCATCAGTGGCTGGCCTCAGGAGAGACAGCTTTGTGCTAAAACCCTCGTGGATGCCAGGTACCCATGACTCTTTTGCTTAGCTTGGGCCCGCACGAGGCGCTGTTAGATGAGGCCGGCCAAAAGGTTCATTTTGTGGATTCACAGCTTCAGTTCTGGTACCGGTGCTCGAGGTCACTTGGATTGCTTCAACTATCGCACGTGAGCATGATGGTTCCTTGCAGTCCTACCCCGAAGCCTTCGTGTACAGAAGGACCCCATCACACCCCACCTATTAGCCCGATATGGACTCAGGAGTCGAATGGACTGGCCTTCAGGCTTGGGGTCATCCACCAGAAATCAGGGCCTTCTGAGCTTTGATTTCTCGTTCTTACGGGTGGTCTTCATCCATATCTCATTGCTGTTGAGGTGGTCCCTCTCCCTTTTTGTCCTCCACGGCAGCTCTGAGTCCGGCTAGCAAATCTTGTTTGATCTGATATGCCTCCCCTGCTGACGGACGGTTTTGTTGCGCTACAGATTTTCCACAATTTGCGTGTAAGATCGGCCTCTGAATCATTGAAGCCGCCTCAAACAGGTGCCTTTCGTATGTGTAGGGCTAAGGCCCCGAAAGCCCTCCTGCTTAGTGATTGCCGTTGACCTTCTCATTGCATGCGGCCAGGTACCATGTAATTACAAGACTGCCTCGGAAATTCCGATAGCTTGTTCCCCGTGATCCGTCTAGCAAGTTACTGGGAAGAGATTATTCCCTCAGCGCCTTCTTGTGCCTCAGGCTGCCGCTGCGCGGTTTTCGGATAGCCCGAGGCAAGTTGCCCAGGCAGCAAAGCACGGGTTTTGGGAGAGACTGTAGACAGGAACTGGGATTCGGATCCACCTGAAATCTGGGGGGCTTGTGTGCAGCGAGCTCCAAGGCAACCGATTGGATAGTTTTTGGCGTAATGCATGCATGGGGATGGCAGATGTATCGCGAGTCTGTCTTCGGCTTTGCATACCGAGCACTCTGTGCTTCATATGCAGTATGGGGGGCAAAACGATTTCGAGACAGTCCACTCCCCTGACTGGCTAAGAGCTGATGTTTTTGAATCTCCAGGCCTTGTAGAAACAGACTACGAGTGACTACCAGCGTCGTTACAACTAACAATTGCTAGCAGTAGCACATGGGCCCTCTGCTTCTGGTAGCTACTTGCAAGAGGAGGTGCACGACCGCATCGTGTTGCTCTTCCTTTCCAGCTATCCGCTTTGGGTGGTGGCCCGTGCATGCCTCAGCAGTGAAGCTTCACATCAAGAGGCCCCCTGGAAGGGCGTGAGGGGGTGAAATCATGGCGGAAGCACGACAGACTTGGTGTGGCTCTGGGAACTTGCGGCCAGGTTGGAGAATACTGGCTTACCTCCGTGAGCATCAGCTGGCTCTTCGCAATAGTTATTCCACCTAAAAACCCTGCAACTGCAAACACCAACCCCTACACTGCTTCGCATCCTAAGGTCGCAAGACTATCTCTAAACGGTACTTCTTAAGCTGTTGCTCTGAGGCATTTTTCACATGACGCCTTTACATCGAGACTCAAGGAATCATCAAACCATATTCCTGACAGCGCTGCGCCGCTGAGCACGTTTCACTGGAGGGGCCATGCTGCTCAGGTTGGGGCATTGGCTTCCCGATCCTCTCTGGTGTTGCGCTCAGGATGTGAAAGATAGCCCAATCGAAGCCATTGTAAGACATGCTGGGGTAAAAAAGGGGAACAAGGGCTAACTTGACTAGAACATGCAGTCTCCATTCCTATCCATTTGATGATGAGAGCCCGCCCCGGACGCACGAGCTTTAGGGCTGATGTCTGGCACTGCCTTTGGTTTCAGGTTGACAGGGTAGGATGGCAGACGTGTCATAGAACATCGTTTAAACTCATATTATCCTCTGCACGTAGATCATGCAACATTCCACGCGTTCAGGTCGCAAGTTGGAATTCATTTTTTGGGGAAGTTGTTCACCGATCTAGCTTGCGAAGTTGGTGACTAGCAGGTTCCAGCTTTGGGCTCGCAGAATGGCGCTGACTCAGTTGGGCAAAACCTGATTGCCTGCATCGTTGTTCCACAAACTTGCATAGGCAACCCCTTCTTGGAGCTCCTGTAGTCAGAGTGAAGATTGTATCAATTGGAAAGTGTGGGGCCTTTGTTGGGAGTGGCACAAGCAGTTGCAGTGTCTTGTACAACGCCTCTTGCCCCCACACCCATTACGGGCTATCAGTAACTCCAGGTGCCTCTTGGAAGTTGGAAAGCTCGAGGCATGATTTTGCTTCACCTGGTGTGCACAAAAACGTAATTTCTTGTAGAAAGTTTTAGGTCAGCTTAGAAGAGAAACTGTGAAGCTCTGCTATGCGATGGCCTATGGTTTCCCCGGTTGCCTTGGCGCTTCGGGCAGAAGGCCTGGTCATCGGGCCCAGTGGCTTCAAGAAACTGGGGCTGGTTTGGCAAGTATTTCAGTTCTGCGTTCTTTGTCTTGCGGTTGTTTGAGCGATTGCTCCGTGAATGGTGTACCACTTCAGACATACTAGCACATATGAAGGCCCAAGTTGGACTTCTCCTCCAAGGAAACATTTTTGAGGCTTCATGTCTGAGTCCAGGCTGTAATTAAAGACCAGGATTCCACTGTCCGAGACGCCTTGCGAGCAGAAGTGGAACTTGACCTTCGAGAGCCCTGGTTGCACCCCAGGCCCTTGCCATCAGCTCCAAATCCAGAATTCTTTGCCCCTGCGCAGAGCGAACCCCAACGCTGCTGCAGAGCCTCTGCCATTTTGGGCGCCAAAAAAACCTGCGTGAATCCCAAAAGGACGGGCACCCTTTGCTTGTGTTGGGCTTATTCTCGAAGGGCCCCCTCCTGCGAGGCTTCATGGTGCACCTGCGCATTGCTGGAAACAGGATTCCTCTCTTCTCTCCGGCTACTAGGATCCTCAATGCAGAGGTCGAACGAGGAGCCCGTAACTAAAAGCGAGTCCCACAGTCCGTGTAATGTGTTCAAACTATCCTTCTACTCCTTGAAGCCCGCTTACTCTAAATCTGCACTGTACAACAGGTATTCCCCACTTGAAGTTTCCCACGTTTCTTGACATCGAGTTGTACAAGGCAACAGCGAACAAGGTTGCAACTGAATAATGAATCATTATCAAAATGGTTGAGCCTACCTAGACCTAGACACAACCTTACCACCTCAGTTATGGCCTCACAAACCGGCTTCCACAACCCTAGACCCCCAAAGACCCTAAGGAACTGCTGCACCTTCCGTCCCGAGCTCCGGCATCTGCCGCGCCTTCTGACCGGAAAACTGCTGCTGTCGGGCCACGCTAGGTGGCTTTGGACTGGTTGAGGAAGTCTTGTATAACATACATATACATAGACACACACACACAGATGTGTATGTATGCATCTATGTATGTATGTATGTATGTATGTAGGTATGTAGGTATGTATGTATGTATGTATGTATGTACGTATGCAGGTGTGTATGTATCTATGTATCTATGTACGTACGCGCGTACGTTTGTTGTATGTTTATTTCTCTCTCGCTCTCTCTGTTTCTGCCTCTCCCTCCCTCCTTCTTCCGCTACTTTGGTATTTAAATGGGAGGAGTTTGTAAAAGGGTTTAGGCTTGAGGAATGAGGCTACGGCTTACTAAGGTTCAGATGAGATGGACTGATGTTGTAGAGGCTTTAAACTCAATGCATCGTTTCAGGCTTAGGGTAATTGACGCGTCTTGCAGCTCCGGGCTTAACATTTTTTGATGTCCAAACACGGTCTGTTTTATGGCTAATGACAATTGACCCTCATATTGTGACGTGCCTCAAGGAGTTCTGGTTGTGCAGGTTGCATCCTGCGGTTTACGCTTCGCAGCTTATTGCTTCAGATCTTTGAGATTCAAAGCGTTTTGCATGCTGTGCCCATTCGCCTGCAAGATGTTATGCAAAGAGCAGATGGACAGAAGGATCTTGCAAAAGGAGTTGCAGGATCTTGCATCAAGAAAAACAGCTCAGAAAGTAAACAGGGTTCGTAATGTATGCGTGTTTTTGCCAGGTCCTGTAATGTGAACAATCAAGCTTAGCAATATGCCTTTGGGCTTGCAACCCCCGTTGCGGCAGGCAATCTTTCCATGACCAGTCAGAGCTCCAAGTGGATGTGTGCAGAAACGCTGAGTACGCGCACAAAGAAATTGAGCATGAGGATGGAGAGGTCCCCGCACCATATTATAGACTCTACAATGCTCTAAAAGGCGTAAGACCGTGTCGTGGTGTTTCAGAGGCTGAATAGGGATCACGAAGTTTAGCTGCGATGTTGGAAGCAGACCGAAGACAGCTGAGGCTTTGCTGGCGCAAACCCTACGAGGACGATCCTAGCAGGAAATGGAATTTGCTAGCCACGTGACGTAGGGTGCGAAGGTGCAGGTCACGCCTGCGTCAAGACCTACAAAATCTATCTCTTACCATAACAGGAACACTGGCCACTCCCATTCCCTTGGCCGGACTTGTCTTGTGGCCAAAATCATTAATGATATTGGAAACGGTTGGCTCCATTTCAGGCAGGTCCCAGAAATAGGAATGACTCCTGACGTTGGTGTCTTCCGACGCAGGATTGTGATGCCTTGTTACGATGTTGATAATGCAGAGCTTGCGTAAGGCGGGAAAGTATTCGGGAACCGTGTATTGCACGTCCCCAGATGTCCTGTGACAGGAGTGTTGCCTGGTGAATACCCAAGCACCCATCACCACACTGCCGAAATGGAGCTTGGGGATCGTGCTGCTCAAGGTGCGCGACCCGACTGGACGGGATCACTTCCTGAAAGTGGTTCCTTTGGCTAGGAAGGAAGCTGCAGACAGATGATGTTAGATGAGGGGAATCATAGTCTTGTAGTGCGATATGTTTTTTGGTTACTCAAGTTTAGAGCGTTGCTTCCAACGCGCAACTTTTTGCTTCCTTTGCCTGCTTCTACAATAAAGTAGCGAGTCAGCTGCAGACATTACCCCAGGCTTCAGCAGTGTTCAAGAATTCTGGTGATGACCATCTTGGCATCTTCCTTTTCCTTTTCCATTGTCCATAGCATCCTGTCTTGGAGATTTGCCTGCGCCCTTGAGCCCTTGATCCAAGCATAGATTCGAATCTGAGTATTCTACGACAAAAATCCTCGAAACGGTGAGCACTTTGTCCTCCCTTAGGAATCCGTAGACTGGAATTACTGGAATTGAAAGAGCCCAGACAGCCTTCTTCAACTCTGAGCCTTTAACGTGCAACGCCAATCCAGGTTCAGGGCAGCGCCCTGCGATGGTGGCAAGAGACGCTGGAGCAGTACACCTTCGCGAGCGCCGTGCTGAAGCGAATTCCTCACTTCGCGCAGAACCTACACGAAGCAGGCACGATAAGGACTTCTGGGCACTATCATGTGGTTCGCCATCATTTGTTCTTGAGGGAGGTTACATGTGTGTCACAAGGGCAGGTTAGTTTCCTGGCTCGGGATAGTATGGAGAGAGAGATCAACATTAGAGTAGGGTTAGAGTTGTGTCGGGGCACTGTCTGGCATAAAGGTTTGCGAACAATGCTCAGTGTCTCGATCTAGCCTATGCTAATAAGAATGCAAGACCAATACAGTAGAGAAAGACCCTAAATCCTAAACCCTAAACCATGCTTAACCCTAAAACCCTAAACCCTATCCTTATGAAGAGGTTGTCTCTGATCGGCGTCCGAAATTCTCAACCCATCATTATGGTCCTGATGTGAAACCTGTGTTCAATTGGCCACTTCTCCATCGTATCATTCAGGCAGTCTACGATTAATAGTGCGGGCCGCAAATTGAGGCTACATTTCTAGGAAGAAAATACAAAGGCTGGCATTCCAGAAGGGCTTTGACTTACAAACGATACTTGGGGTTTGTTGTTAGGGTCTTCTTCGGGAGCCCCTTCGAAAGGGATCATGTACTGGGCTGTATGTTGGGGCCTGTCTGAGAAAGAGAGGTCTTCTTTGGCGAGATGGACTGAGCCTGGCAGCAGCAGTGGCCGAGCTTGTCACGGGTGAGGGAGACGCGAGGCCAAGCTTCCTGGAGGCCAGGTGAGTGAAAGGAAGAAGCGCTAGAGCTGCAAGAGGCCCAACTTGTGATTGTATAGGGTTCCCGGTATTACCTTTTGTTCATGACCTAGTGTCATTGTAAGCCGTGCAACTGTTTGGGGAGTGCGGCGGGACTTTATTATTCCCAACATGCGTTTCTTGCTCGGCGAGAATTCCAGTTCCACTAATCTTCAGGACCCACAAAGCCTTGAAATCTTGTAGCCTCCCAGGTAGCCGCTGGGACTGGGCTCGCATCTCTGGTGGCCATGCTGCGCGGTTGGAAGGTGCTGAGGAGCTATAATGCAGTATCCAAGGGTTCAAATGTGAGATGTGCCTTCTGGGTTCCCTCACCATGGGCATCGCAGAGACTTCAGGACCGCAGCACAACCGGCAGCAGACAGAAAAGGGAACCATCACACCGCTCACCGCTGTGAGTCTGAAGCCAGAAAGTGATGGTTTAACCTGATTATGAGCAAGCCAAAGACCCTACTTCATGCACTGCAGCCCCAAGCCCTGTAAACCCGCGAGCCTTTTTGGCAAGCCCTTTTGCTAAGGATCCTGCTCCCTACTCCCGGGTTGAAACGCAATGAGCGAACCCCAAACTTGTAGTATTTCCAAGCAGACCGATTCATTGAGCAAAGATTGATCTCAGATACCTTGAAAACGAAGTCGCCAGGTGCTTAGTACTGACCTGTACGCGAATTCTGGGCTGCAGCGGCTCCAAGCGGCGCGAGCGCCTTTGCTTCTTTCATCTTGGGCTTGCGGTGAAATCGCAAAAGCCCACGGTCTGCGGCCGAGAAAGTAGACGGTGTTAGTGGTCTCGTACAGCCATGGCAGCCGAGAGTTGGTCGATTTTATCGAGTACATGCACTCCCAAATCCAATCCGAATTGGGCTTTGCATTGCAAGAGCTCAGGCCTCTTTCGGCGAAAACTCCACGGCATTGGGGCGGCTGAGGGTTTCTGAGCTCGATTTGCAAGATCCAAGGACACACCCGACTGGCTCTAAAGCTTTGGGATGAATTGTACAATCTAGGAGAGGGGAGCCATGAAAGGAATTTAGGGGTTTGGGGTTCGTGCTTTGCAGCTCAAAGGCCATGGTTGAGGAATAGGTGTCCAGTTGTGATGTTTTTCCGGCCTGGGTTTGGGCTGAATGCTCCCCAGCGTATGAGGGGTACATACCCCAGAGTATCCTCCCCCCATGGCTCTGCATCCTGAGGGGTCATACTGACTTTACCCCTATTTTTGCAAACTCCCGCATCCCCTTTCACTTTGTGAGTTGGATCGTGGCAGTGTCGGGCGGCAGGTGCCGTAGACTTCAATCGTATCAAACCCTCCCAATCCGATGCAAAATAATAAGGCTCTCAAGAGGATTCCATTGAGCAGATCCTTCTACATATCCTCTCTTGACAGCATGAGATGACGCATGCGTTCTGAGAGGACTTGGCCTTCGAACTCCTTCGACGTGATCGCCTGTGCACGCGTGGGTCGCTTGAGATTGTAAGCCTGTGCAATATGAAGCAGATCATCGTTCTGTTCTACATGATACTGATAGTGGTGTTGGGGTTCATGGGCCTGAGAAGAGTTATGTGTAAGAGACGGCTCCGGCGAAATGGGATGGTGTGTCTTCCTGAGACTGGGCATGGATTTGTTAAGGCTTTAACTTTAGGTTTTGAACGCAGGGTTTCAAACCTGGAGATCCTTTCTTTGAAGAATCCTGGTCTTCCAGATTTGGATTGTATCTTTCCGTGCCCCCACATCTTGGATAATGGATGATCATGGTATTTGACTCCTGGTGGGTTTGGCGGCTTCTCCAGCTTTGGTCAGGTCTCGACTTTGATGCCAGCGATAAAGCGAAGCTATTCGTCGTCCGTGTGCAGAGGAATAAACATTAGTATAAAATTTTCCCTATAGTAACCCCAGCACGTTGGGGGGCCTGCTGAATAAGCATCAGCTGGGTTTGGTACTAGTGGGAAAATGTGGGAAACGATTAGGTGGATTGAGGAATTCTTAGACATGAGCTGGTGTACCCTATGTGTTCTGCGAACCATGACGCAAGCATACCCTTATGTAGAAGGATGAGACACACCAAGTCCTAGCTCTTGCCTGTATGCTTCTGAAAAACAACATGCACAACCAAGACCATGTTGGTAATTGTTTAAGTCCGTACAACAAACGAGTTGCTGCTCGTCCCCGTCAATCTTGATGCCCTTGTACGCTCTCACAAAGCATTTGCGGAGGTAGCAAGAGTCCATTTCTCTCGTCTCAGCCGGTGTTTGGAGGGGTCGACGTGCGTGAGCTCACGCTCAGGAAGCCAGTCTGCAATGCCATGCACGTCAACCCTCAGCCTAAATGACTACGCCTACTGATAGAGTGACTGCCTGTGCAGAAGTGGCACCCTACATTCAGAAGTAGGGGACCTTGCGACAGACCCCTTCAAACCAAGGCAGGAGTGCCTCCTCTTCCGGAAGCTTACTGCGAGGAACTTGGCGAAAGAAGCCGGGCAGCCTCAGAGTTTTGGGTGGGCAGGGGTCACACATGCAAGCCTCGCACCAGGCGCACCACAACACGCAACCCTTCTTGGGCAGTTCAAAGCCAGACCAAGGATGGCCTGGGATTCTTCGCCTTCTCCAATGTCTACGATTGGGAGGACCCGTGCATGATCTCGTAAGCACTCGGGGTTATGAAGATGCTGCCAAGATGACTGGGCAGATAAAAAGGTCGGCTGGCCGAGGTCTTCATCGTAAGAGGAAATGTGCGCACAACACCTCTACTGCAAGGACCCACGTAAGCGGGGGCAAACTCTGTCACCAAATGTATATTGCGTCAGTGGACATGGGGGCATGGGTGCTCCTTGAATGCTTAGATGACCGGTTGGTGATGCAAGATAGAGCGAGCTTACTGGAGTCTCGCCAGAAGTAGTGGTGAAGAGTCTGCGCAAATGCATGCCGACTTGCAAAGGAGGCCGCGAATCCTGTGATATCCTGCTACTTGTCAGGACTGGTCCCTTTGCGTGGATGATGCTGGCGAAATGGTAGGCGAGTTCCTTGCAAGAACCCAGTTTGGGAAGTACAGCCTGGGTTGGAGGCAAAGGTTGGTAAGCCCTGGTAAGCACATGCTGCAACGGTTCTTCTCAGGAAGTGCCGTGAAGCTTCTTTGAGCTTCCTTTCCACTGCCTGCTCCCCCCCTCCCCTGGCCCCCCCCCTCCACACGTGCCCTCACTCACCCATCCCCGCACTCACCCACGCGCTCACTCACCTATCCACTCACTTGCTCACCCTCCACCCACCCACCCAGCCACTCACTCGCTCATTCACAGCACGCGCTCCATTCACCCTCACAGTAAATCTCATTGATGCCTTTGCTCAATGACATACTCGCTCGTGTGCGACTACTTTGCAGGTCTCTGCAGCTACATATGACATCATAAAACATATACAATTACCATGCGTTGTGGCCCTATATATGGCATCTGGAAGTACCGGTAGCAGTGAGCAGGTGCGCGAGTGGAAGACGTTGTCCACATGGCTGTCGACTAGGCCACAGCTCCACCTGCAGCCATGCGAGCGAATGGATAGGGCCTTGAGCTCCGCGCTCCTCCACAGCTGCGGCTACCAAGATTTGGGCAGAGGTGGCTGACGGGATTGGTGGAGACGGAAGACAAAGAGGTGAATTGCCAGCTCGAGTTAAAATGATTGGGTGCCAAGCGCTCAATCATCCCGTTCTCGCTGACAGGTACGGCAGTACGGGTGGAGGAGCTCAGTTTGCTCAGGACCCTGGCTCCTGGCCGCGGAAGCATTCAAGTTATCGCCTGCGCTTCCGCCCGTCCCTGCCGAATATTGCAATGGCATTCATGCGGAGGCAGTTATTCTGGGGAGCCAACGTGCAGGAGTGTGTTATCCGTCGGGCGCTTTGGACCTTTTGAGGCTTCTGCAGCATGTAGCCCCCCACCCAGCTTGGAGCGGCCTTTTGGCACGGGTGAATGGGCCGCATCTTTGTTCGCTACCGGCGCAGGTCTTTGGCTGCTAGTGATGAGTGATCCTTTGGTTGCCTCACACACGCGCTTCGCCGTCGCATGTCCGTTCACGCAAAACCAGCCTCAACTGGCAAAAGCTGACTTCCCATGCGTCTCACGCTTCTGCACCAGTGCCGGCCAACAGCTGTGGTTCAGACACGTGCGGGCACGGGCCTGGATGCCGAAAGCACCAAGAGCTGCG